GGTAATCGCAAGATGACCGACCAGCGGTACCTAATTCCACTGGCGAGGGGGCTGCCAACTCTCAAAGCGGCCAGCCCGCTTGACCGGTGCAGACTCACGCAATTTTGAGAAACAACAGCAAAGTACGTTAACAAAACAAACAGCATTAATAACAAAAAGGCTGATATATAAAAAATCAATACTTCAAACGGAAGAAAACAAGAACAAAAGAGGGAAAAGAGAATGCATTGGAGATTATAAAACAAATAAAATTAAAATGAATAAAAAAAAGAGAAAGAAGTTGAAATATATAAAAGAAAAAAAGGAAGAGGAGGAGAAAGCACAGCAAAATTTAAAAAGATGATAAATAGAAACAGGAGAGTTTGTAAAAATTTACGTGAGGAGGCGCGGCGCGCGTTTGTAAAAAAGAGATTGAAGAAAAATTGGAAGGTTAGTTAAAGAGATGGAAAGAAGAGAGAGACACGGGGGGGGGGGCAGGACGAGCGAAGAGCAATAAAAGCAGAAAAAGAGAAGGGAGAGATGAAAAGGCAATAAATGCGTGAAGAGGGGAGGTGTGAAAGAAAGAATAAAAGATAAAAGAGAGAAAAGAGGAAGGAGAGGAGAGAGAGAGAGAAGAGAGAGATGAGAGCAAAATAACGGGAGGGAAGAAGAGGCACGTGCAAAGAGTGAGAGAGAGAGAGAGAGAGAGAGAGAGAGAGAGAGAGAGAGAGAGAGAGAGAGAGTGTGATCGAGCGAGAGAGAGAGAGGGAGAGAGAGAGCGCGAAGGGAAGAGATAGCAAGAGCGAGAGAACGAAAGAGAAAGAATGAGAGACGACGAGAGAGAGCGAACGCGGCGATGGGAAGGTGCTCTTGATTCGTTTTCCCCTGAGTTTAGCATCAGAACACCTGCCGTCAGGTGAGCGCTGTCGCTCTGCGGCACTTGTTTAATTCTATTGCCGGAATTCTAACTGTCACGAGATTTCTGTGCCCCTGTGCATCTTAATTAAATTCTGGTGGCATTGTTCACAACTTTGCCACATTAATTGTACTAATTTGGCTTTATTATAAAGTTTGCCTCGCAAAAACAACGGTTTTGGGAAATTCTGTCTCGATCTCTTCGCCTCCCCCGTTTCTCACTCGCGTGCGTGCGTCTGCTACGTGGTGGGCGCTAATGCACGAATGCCGATGCGCGGCGATGCATAGAGCAGGTTTTTGCTCGACGGTTACAAACCAATGTGTACGCTGCGTCTATCGGTGGGTGCAGCTTGTGCAGACGACGAGAACCATAGTGACGGCTGTCAGGGCTAGTGTGCGCGGGGCCGCGTTCGCGAAAGCAGTTTGAGCACACCACAAACCAGCTGTGGGTTGCATCTAGGTCTGAAGCATGTGGAAGTGGTTGTTGCTAACATCCAGTCCATGCTAGATGCATGACAAATCGTTTCTTTTAAAACAAAGACCATTCTTCTGTAAAAGTGTGCGATGCGAAAAAAGCTTTCGCGAATAGCTTTGTGTGTGTGTTGGGGAGGGGGTGGGGGTCTTTTACTCTGTCAGTGTCTTTACCAGCCACTCTGTACCTAGCCTTTTTGAGTTCAGATAAAGTATGGCATTCTTTTGATATGGGTCGCAAAGAATAAAAACACCCTCAGTAGTCCTTGAATGGTGGTGGAGTCACGGGTACATGGATAGAACTTTTATCTCAGGGGAAGGGTTGATACAGGGTTGTGTGCGCAAACCCAAAAGCTGTGCTCTCCTGTGGGGCACGATTACACACAAATGTTGCATGATGGATGCTCAGGTAGGCTACCACTAGAATTGCTTGATTGTTGACACAGCTTATTTTGTTTACTGTTTATCAGTTAATGTTGACACATATCGGTGCAAAGTGAGATAGTTGTTGCTGTGATCTGCGCAAACAATTACACCCGCTTTGCGAGCTTAGACTGACTTCATCCCTGTTTATCCTGCATCAATAGGGAGAGCTCGAGGAGCAGCTTCTGCAGGCTAACCCCATCTTGGAATCGTTCGGCAACGCCAAAACCGTCAAGAATGACAACTCTTCGCGATTCGTAAGTTCGATCATGGTATTCCCATTCCCGCCACCTTTTAAGGTCAACTCCAGCTTGGAGCTTACGGCGTTTCTTGCCTCCTTGGGAAGTGAGAAAATCCTCAATGAAAAGAAGCCACCGGGTTAGGAAACTCGCATCGTATGCCCTCGTCTCTGCGGAGTTTTGTAGGAATGTAGGGAAAAATATGACAGTTTAGCCTTTTAGCACAGCTAAGTCTACCGCCGTGTTGGATTGCGTGGTGGAACTGTCTTTAGTCTTATCCGGGTTGTCGTGACATGAATCTCTCTCACGCATTTTGCTGGTTTCTTTTTCAGGGTAAATTCATCCGTATCAACTTCGACATGTCCGGCTACATCGCCGGAGCAAATATTGAGACCTGTATCCTTTCAGCGATGGCTGTTATATGATGTGGTTTTAACCACTGCTGTTTAGGTTGCCAGGAACATGTAAGGATGAATGTAGACTTCTCTTAGGTTACTGCGGGAAAGTACACTTCCAAGGGGCTCCTAACAACAGGGTTTTCACCATGACGACATAAACTGAACCCAATGTTTAACTAGCTCTAGATTCGTGATAAACCACTATGGCTATCAACGTGTGGTTGGTGAGCTCCTAGTTGGCATCTTAAAAGTCATTTAAGTTGTTGAGGTTACTAAGCAGAGTTTATGTTCAGTTCTGCAACAAGTTGTCGTCGTGGTCGATGTTGTGGGTTTTACCTTGACTGCTCTGGCCAGACCTGTTGGAGAAATCACGCACAGTCCGACAGGCTCCCGACGAGCGGACGTTCCACATCTACTATCAACTTCTAGCCGGAGCGACGCCCGAGCAGAGAAGTAAGCTGTGTCTTGGGTCTGTGGTGTAGTGCCGGTGTCATGGTTGCGTGATTACAGCATTTTCTCGATTCTGGTAAATGTGCATAACAGACAGCAGGGGGTCAATGGTGGGATGGCAGCCCTGGTTCCGATTCTGCACCAAGAACCCCGATCTTGACTCAAAAATGGCGTGAGCTTCAATGCACTATCATGAAAACTCTTTTTGATTTGGCGGTGCTACATAGACCTTAGTTTCAATGTTGCAGTACCCGCCCGAGTTTTTGATACTGCATCTATGACTCTAGCCTTTGCCGCTGCAAAGACGACCATGCTATAACCATTAGCTTTTGACACTGCAATAATGATGAACCCAGTCTTGATGATGACTATCGCTGTAGCTTTTGACACATACGATAGCTGTAGTGCATGCATGCGTGTGTGACGTGTGTGTTCTGGGTTTTTTTCACAGAGGAGCTGCTGCTGGAAGATGCGAAGAACTACCGCTTCCTCAGTTATGGCTTCGTGAATGTGGGAGGCATCGATGACCACCAGGACTTCATGATGACGGTGCAGGCTATGAGCATCATGGGGCTTACCAGTGACGAAATCAAAGGTGCGCTTACCACCTCATTACCACTCTATCAGTCGGTGTGTTCACCCACAAATTCATGGTTTGGTGTGTATCCGCACGCCTTTATCTGTCGGTGTATCCACCCACAAGCCTTTTTTGAACGATGTATCCACTAACTAGCCTTTCTCTGTCAGTATGCCCACCCACAAGCTTTTTCTGTTAATGTATTCAACAACGTCTTTCATTATTTGGTGTGTGCAATCACAGTCGGTTACTGGTCAGTGTGTCCACCTAAAAGCCTTTCATCATTCCGTGTGGTATTGCGGCTTGGTACTGTATATTCTGATTGTGAGAAATGGCTATCTTAGAATGTCCGTGAACATCAAGTAGAGTCAGTTTTGTTACAAAAGAAGTAGGGTTAGTGGTAGAGGTGGGACAATTCATCAATATATCGATGTATCGCGATGCAAACATCCACGATACATGTATAGATATGCCTGACTATTCACGATACACGTATCTATACTCTACTGAATAAAATCCATAGCGTTTGGTAGCATAGCTTCATCAGAAAACAGAAGAAGCATGGCACAATTCACAGTATGTTCACTAGCAGTTGTTTACTAAGCGCTCCACGATACTGATTTTTGGAAGCATTCACGTATTTGCTAGAGTACCAGTTATGTGTATAGTTTGCTATGTAGTTTCCCTTGAAAATATCGCGATACATATATTGATTATTGTATCGTGAAAGGTTTATCGTGATACGGATTATGT